TGACGTGTGCAGGTTTATAGAAGAGAATACAGGTAGACATTTATTTGAGAAAGAAAAGCATTAGGACAAAATTGAAAACCCACCACCTGAAATAAAAAGATTTAGCATGCAAGCACGCGGTTAGTAAATCGAATGCAGCGTACCTACAAATGCTGCGCCGGTCCTGCCTACCTTCTCTGCACGACCCGTCGGCGCTTCGGTAGTGGTCCCGAGTGGCCTCGCTCATGGCTAATTAGGCCTGCCTGACTCAGGTACTCGCGACCGCATGTGCTACAGCACCATGCGCTCGATGTTGATGGTGTACAACCCATCGGTGCTTGCCGTTTCCGCACTTGCCGCTACTTCTCTGCATGTATGAGGTCTTTCTCCTGCACTTCGGCAACTGCCTTCGTGATTAGATCGTGCCATGCACGCCGATCAACCGCCTTCGATTCCCATGATCAGCAATCAAGATTAGAACGGGCTAGGCTCAGTTTGATCATGTCCTGGTAACGTAGCTTTGGTTTCCCCAATACTCAACTGACCACATAAGAGTTGTTTCGGTATCCGCGTCGAATCCATACGGCGCACATGTCTGAGCCATCTCAGGTGTCTCAGCAAAAGTATGCAGTCCACTGCATACATTCCACCTTGTCGCAATACTTCCGTGTCAGCAACTCTGTCGCCCCAACCGATGCGCAAAATCCGTCGCAAACAATGCTGAAGGAACCGCTCGAAATATCGCACATCCCGCCGGTACATCGTCCACGTTTCACTGCCGTATGGAAGAACGGACAGCACCATGGATTTGTACACCATCAGCCTCGTGCCAATGGTAAGCTGATGGTTGTTCCAAACTCGATACTCAAGCTTCCCGAATGCCGCCGTTGCCTTCGACATGCGAATACCCAGCTCACTGCGTAGCTGCTGATCAGTCGACATCACACTCCTAAGGTAGCTGAAGCGGGAGGTGGTTTCCATTACTTCAACACCAATGCTGATTCGCGGTAATATTGAAGATTGCACCTCCGGTGAAAGCTGAAAGAGACAGACAGTTTTGCTTATGTTGATGGTGAGCCCGAATTTGACCGCCGTCAAAGCCAGAGCACTAGTCATGTGCTGCAACTCATCCGCGTTGTGTGAAAGCAACGCACAGTCGTCAGCAAACAGCAACATAAGAATAGTTGTCTCACAGACTGGAGTTCTCGCACCGAAACGACGGATGTTCAGCAACCCACCATCAATACGGTGCTCCACACGAACACCGTAAGCACAAGCGGCATCAAAAGCAAAAGACATCATTGCATGAAGATATATACTAAACAGGGCAGGAGCTAAGACACAGCCTTGCTTCATACCACAGACAACTGCAAAGTCATCCGAGGTTTCTCCATACAGCTGCACCCTCGCCCGCATACCACTGTGCAGACATTCCATTAAACTTACAAACTTACGCGGGCAACCAAACTTCCTCAACACTAGCCACAATGCCTCGCGGTTCACCGTATCAAATGCCTTGGTGAAATCAACAAAAAGCGAGTACAATGGCTGGTGTCGTTCTCTGCACTTCTCCTGCAATTGATGAGCCGCAAACATTATAGCTATAGTGCTGCGACGCGAATGGAATCCACATTGCTCTTCCGCCACGTTCGGTTCCACAACCTGACTGACGAGGCGGTTGAGCAGGATTCGGGCAATCACCTTGCCCACACAACTCAGCAAGCTGATGCCACGATAATTCCTGCAACATAGCTTGTTTCCTTTGCCCTCGTGCAGTCGTAGCACAAGGGCATCCTTCAGCACAGGATGCACCTCCTTCTCAATCCATACATGTTGCACCAAGTGGTGCAGCGCAGTCAACAAAGCGGGTCCGCCGTGTTTCAATCCTTCAGGCAGGATCCCGTCGGCTCCGGCACACTTGCCGTTTCGCAGCTGATCAAGTGCTCTCTGCGTCTCATCCAGTGTCGGCGTGTCCGCCAGACTCGTCTTCACATCGTGCTGCTTGAGGCCGTTCAATGTAGGCCAGTCGATATCTGAACAGTTGTTCAAGAAACAATTAAAGTGTTTCGGCCAGATCTGCATTATGTCTGCAGTCTGTGTGCAGGTAGCGCCTGAACTACCATCGATCAGCGTCCTCAGCGGCTCCAATCTCGGTCTATACACCGCCTTCAAGGAGTCAAAGAATTCCTTGTGTTGGCGGCGTCCGGCGTAGCATTCCATCTGCTTCGGATTCTCCGTCCACCATGCATATTTTATGCGACGGAGCTCTCGGGTCAGTCGCCGTTGAAGTTTGCGAAACTGACTACTCTTCCCCAAGTCACTGGGGTCTGCCACTTGTGTAGCAAATGCTGCATTCTTCTCACATGCCAATGCGCTAATCGTCGCATTGTCCTCATCAAACCAATCAGGCCGCTTACAGTTTGCGCGCCCGATGGTCTCCTCGGCAACAGCTGTCACCTGGTCACGAATGTGGTGCTATAGGTCGCCCACTGCGGCTATGCAGTCCACATCACACAAACGTGCAGTCATCGCCTTCTCCAGCTCAATACATTTCTCCACAGTACCGAGGGAGAGAAGGTTAAATTTACGCCGATTCATAGCGGGAGTGCAATACACAGATTTACGAATATATATATATATATATATATATATATATATATATATATATATATATATATATATGCAGTTCTGTGCGCACCAGTTTGTGATCAGTGCCACACTCAGCTCCACGCAGTACACGTGTCATGCGCACTTCACGCATATCACGTCGACGTAGATGACATAGTCGAGCAGGTGAGCGTAACCACTCCGTGGGTGCGTCCAAGTTGCTATATCACTCGCACTCAGTGCAAACCGAGTGTTCGTGATCGTCAGGCCATGAGTGGCACACAGTGAGAGCAGCCTGTCACCGTTCGCATTCGCTGAACCAATGCCATACGGACCGATAACATCTATCAACATCGATGCATCACGCCCAACGCGCGCGTTGAAATCACCCAGCAGAAATAGTCGGTCGCTGCTCGGCACAGACTGTATCACGGGGGATAGCTGAGTGTAAAATTGACCACGCGTGTCATCAGGATAACACATGGTCGGACCGTACGTGCTTATAAAAGTGGCAAGCTTGTCTCTCCCGAGTGGTAAGCGAACAGTGAACAGTTGCGCGCCGATGCCTGCTGGTTCACCCACCAGCTGGCCATGGAGGCGATCGGATATTGCAAATCCGACCCCATGATCACGTGGTGCTGAGGCGGCGTTGCCCACCCAGTAGAATGTGTAGACAACACCTGCTTCATGCAACTCAGCGAGCCGAGTTACATTGAGCGTCGCAATGTTGATGTGGTAACGCGCTAGCCCCATCGCGACCAGTGCAGTGCGTCGCTCGGGGCGCTCACTAGAGTTCCGGTCCAGTAGTGTGCGCACGTTCCAGCACTCGATGCTGAGTGCTTTGCGTGCAGGCATACGATTTCATTGGCGGGCAATCGCACGCGTGGTGGTTGTTGTGCTTCGGAGGTTTGCTTGAGGGACTCCACCCGGAGCCTTTGGCTCAATAGCCTGATCCTCAAGGCAGTGGGGAGCAGATCCAGCTCGGAAATGTGATTGCAGAGACAGATTGGGTCTGCTCGACGGCCGTCACATGCAGCCTTTGAGGTACTGGAACAATGTATACATGTTTTGCGACCGTAGTAGGATACGCACCTGCGAACACCGGCCGGACGCAGGTGGGTTTTGGCGGGTTTGCACCAATTTGACCAGGGGCTGTCTGGCTTGAGGCGGACAGTACCAAACCTTTGAACACCCGGAAGTGCCCTCCCACCGTTAGAGACAATGCGTGGCGCTCGTGCACTACGCCAATCGAGCTGTGAGTTTATAACCCGTAGACCTCTGTCTCCCATGGCCAGGTTTTACGGGAAGAAGGCCATTGACCACTTCCTAACCTCCGAAGAGGATGGACTAGGATACTGGCAGGACGCCCACACCTGAGAGGAGAACGACTCGGGTCCTCAGCCAAAGCTTTCGATTAAATGTACACCCGAAAGGCAGCGGGTCTAGCACATAGTCAGTTCACTGACTCATGCAGATTGGTGCCCTGGATCTTAGCAGGGAGAAGGGGGTAACCCAGCTCCCATCCAGCGATCGCCACGAGGAGGCGTCCAGGACATGAGCCAATGGCGCAACAGTGGCAGCAGTGGGTAGATCATGTCAGGATCTAGCCACCACCAGCCTCAGCGCGCCATAGGCTCTCCCGCCCGAATGGACATATACCACTGTAGTTTAAGCCCGTTTTTACCCAGTTTTCCGGTGCATTGCCGTCTGCTAATTAAGTCGTTTAACTCGCATACCACACTTAGAAACTTGTCTGTAGTTAAAAAGCAGCGGCAGTTACCGAAAAAGATTTTAGAAAATACAGTTCATGTTGAAAAAAGGGTGTGCAGTCCCAGATTGCTTTGCTTGTCGCAGACTTTCACGCTCATCGACACTTTGGATCCATCGTCGCACTTTCTACGCAACTAAAACATCCGTACATCCGGCGTAACTATCGCATTATGGTGTCTGAAGTAGTTTACGGTTAAAAAATGTTTTATGCTTACCGGTGATACAACGCACATAAAGTGTCCGCGATGCGATATTTTTGATTGACTCGACGCCAATTCACAGTGCATGCCAACATATTGCTCATGGAAGTGACCATGATGCTGCGCACCACGTCGGATAACAATTTCCCACCTACAATGGAAAGTGGGCCACCTGGATCCAGACATAACATATTTTAATTGGACCATATTGGACAGAAAAGTAGTATTCTCCGGTTCCGAGTTGAATTTCATCAAATCACTGACTGAGTCCATTGGTCATTTGTACGGGCATACGTTGTTGCCCTCTCGAAGCGCCAAAGTACGCTGAATCTGATGCGTGGCCAGCATATATTAGCGGTGCTCATCGCGCAGTTTAACAACCTCAAGCGTGAGGTTTAACAACAGAACCCAAGTTGCATGTTAATGGGGAAATGAAACGCTTACCTGGTACGTCATTCGTGTCCGGAACGTAGTCAGCAGATATCCGCGACAAAGACAAGCGTGAGGAGTTGGAGGGTACGGGACTAACAATCTCTTAATGACAATCGCACGTACCTTGAGCTTCTTGAGCTACATATTGGCTGGATATTTTCCAGCAATTTCAGAGGCATCGCATCATACTCTAGTTAAAGCCAAGGGAGTGGGGGAGAGTATTCACCATCCGGCGAGGATGCCCGTCGGCGGCTTGTGAACTGCTTCAGCGGTGTTTCTCATTTCAGGAACTTTTCTCCGTGCTGCAAAAATTATGGATTTACGATACGTTTGCATTTTTCGCTTTCCATTGCATTCCACAACGCAGGTAGCATCGGTGGACGGCAGCTCTGAACATAGCATTAACTAGTCCTCCAGATGCCTAGCCTTTCCATAGTCAACTAATAGTGGATGCATAAGTAGAAATGGTACTCACCAGTGGATCTGTGCGCAGTTACTTTGGAAAGTAACGAATCAGCAGATGCAGGTAGGTTGTGCAACAACAGCCTTTCAAGTTGCCTGGAAGACAACTTGGGCCACTTTACTTTGCCTTCGCTTTCCATCCAGCTGGCGTTCGCAACTGCGACACTGCAGTCTTCAAATTCTATGATGCGATACATCAGTAAGTTAACTATTATGGGTACATACATTGTAACATGTTGCGGAAGGATGAAAAACCAAAGTCAACCTCAACTGTGTATTATGAGATGAATTACAACAGTGTCATTCGAAGGAACGGAAAGGCATTTACATTTAACCAAACTGTTCCCTATCAATTTTGATGAAGTCATGGCGCGGGTGCATTAACAGACGCGTATGTCTTCGGATGATAAGAAAATGATTGGCAATTCAGAAAAGACTGAACATATACCTGGGAGTATTGGGCCCCTGTTTGGCAGCTAGCCAAACGAAAGGCGTATGAACCGAGCAATAGGTCACCGGGCCCCAATGGGCGCGATTCCCTGAATTCGCCCCTTTGCCTTGCAGATCAGGTTTTTATGACCAAAGGCCTCTAAAGTCAACCCCCTTCCACCGCCTGGGCAACCGGAAAGCTGTATGTCCGCACAACACATAAAATAATGAATTTACAACTCTGCTCACGTTTCTTGCTCTCTGAACTCTCTTTGGTCCGAGTGTTGGCGGCCGGGCATGCTTAACCCCACCCTACCGCACCGCAAACCACGTTCTTCGTTCCAAGTTTATTCAACCCCCCAGTTCTTGGTAACCCCCATCAATTTCGGGTCCCCAAAAGTGTATTGCAAATAAAAACGGTACCTTTGGCCTGATCAATGAACCGCACAAAACCGATCGCACACATTTCAATTCCAACAGCAAGGCTTTTATTGTACCCCGCTCATTCTTCAAGCTAGCTACATTCAAGGTTTGATCGCTAATGCAGATTGACTCACAAGCTGCTCTTGTGTGCAGCTTGGAAACCGTCTCAATGGACGTTTGCTGCCTAACCGAAACCCGTTTACAAGGTTCCAGCACAACGCTGCGATTGCTCTCACCATCCCCAAGTTCCAATTGCACATTCACCTTGCGTTTATCTGGAGAAGCGAGAGCGGCAGCCTCTGGTTGCGTCGGCGTAAGAGTTGCGTTAAGCGCGCGTGCTGAGGCAGCGCTCATTGACTGGTTCCCGGTCAACAGCCGTCTTTGTGCAGTCCGCTTGGAAAGATCAGTGCGATCTTCCAGCCACGGGATTAGTAGGCGCTGCTTATTCATTGTGGCGGCGTACGGTCCTACGGACTCCAGCCCGGACGAAACTAAAGAAGAGTTCTACCGCCAACTCACCGACCTACTCCGCAAGAAACGCCGCACGGACATCGTGATACTCGCCGGTGACACAAATGCGCAGGTCGGTAGACTGGAAATTCATGAACGTGAAGTTGGAGGTCAACCCAGCCACGGTACTCGCAGAACGGACAACGACGAACGACTACTTCAACTGTGCGCCGACCACGGATTGTTCTACTCCAGCACCAACTACCGACGTTCCTGGCGCTAAGGAGCCATCTGGCGACCCCCGGCGCCCGGTCAACCCTGGACGCAAAATGACGACATCGCTCTTAGTTACCGGTGGCGAGGCTGAATAACGGACTGCAAGTCAATTTGGAACACTTACTTAACCTCGAATCATGCGCTCGTGTGTGCTAAGTTCGTTTTGCGCTTTGGAAGCACTCAACAGCGTCGCCGGAAACGGCTTGACACAGACAGACTGGCCGCCCAAAATGTTCTCGGCGTATTTCAGAAGACATTAGCCTCCAACCTGCGTTCTCTATCCTCCGATGTTGAGACACACTGGGCACAGATCCAGAGCAGCTTACGAAAGTCCGAAACCTGGTCTGTGGTTTCACTAGACAAGATGCCAGTCAATGGATCTCTGCGCACAGCCTCTCCAATTAATGGAAAGTCGTGGAACAACTCCTGCCGGGGTTGAATACAACGCACTATGTAGAACCACAGGTGCTGAGCTCAGACAGCTCCTCAGGAAGGATCGCCAGGTTCGGTGGACACAGCGCATCGTTGAGATGGAGCGGGCAGCCTCATTAGGAAACTCCCGTCACCTCTTCCAAGTTATCCGCTCCACAGGTGTAAGAAGACCAACAGTGAGTGAGGTTTTGCATGAAAGTGACGGTGAACTAATTAACAGTCGTCACCGTCGTCTGCTACGATGGGCAGAGCACGCTGAAGAGCAGTTCAAATGGCCACCAGCGCAACCGAATCAGTTTTCCGGGGTTCACAGTGCTCCCTGGTGCGTGAATGTTATTTCATCGACAGAAGCTGAGGTTTCCAATGAGCTACAACTACTGAAGCGCCACAAATCCCCTGGCTAAGATGAACTCCCCCTTGCCCTTTTCAAATATGGAGGTCCTGCTCTCACTCGGGAACTGACATCTCTATTCCATCAGAGTTGGACTACTGAAATCATTCCATCCGACTGGAATTTAGCGGATGTTGTATCTGTTTATAAAAAGGACCATTTGCTCCAATCATCGTGGCATCAGTCACATGTGTCGCACTCAAACTGCTCGCTGCCCTACTCTTGCGGAGGCTCAGTTGTGTACGGGAACAGAACTTGCGTGAACAACAATCTGGATTTCGCCCGGGTCGCAGTTGCGTCGATTACATCTTTACGATCCACCAGATACGTGAACATCGCCATACGTTCAGTCGATCAACTATATGCGGTACTGATCTGCTCCCTGGTACGCCGATGAAGTCGCCGTGATTTGCGAGTTTTCCCAAGCCGCCCAGCATGTACTGCTCAGGCTGGAGATGTCCGTCTCCCAATTTGGGTTGACCTTTGCCCTTTCCAAATGTAAGGTCCTATTACAGGAATGACCAAGCGCATATCCTTCTCTCACCCTTTCGGGGCATCCGCTGGAAGTGGTCGACAAATTCATTTATTCTGGGAGTTGTCTTAGTATTAGCGGTTTGACAGATGAGATCTCCCTGCGTGTCTCCAAGGCTAGAGTCGCATTTGCTAACCTTTGACACCTGTGACTTTGTCGTGACCTCAATCTCGCTTTCAAGGGACGAGTCTATAATGCTACGGTACGAGCGATTCTGCTGTATGGCTGTGAGACTTGTCCCGTTCGCAAAAGCGATATTCAACGACCATCTGTCTTCGATCACCGCTGCCTGCAAAGCATTGCTGGAGTTCGATGGCAGCATCACATCAGAAATGAGGAAGTCCGTCGGCGAGTCTTCAGATTTAACGAACTCCGCCGACCGACTGATAGCATCATTTCACTGCGGAGGCTACGCTGGCTTGGGCATGTGCTTCGCATGCTACCCAGCGACTTCCACAATGAGACCTACTTGCGAGCACAGGCGTGGCTTGGAAGCGAGGAAAAGGAGGGCAATGTAAAACTTGGATCCAATGGGTTAAAGCGCAAACGTTGAACCTCGTTGTTGTCGGGCGTTCCCGACTCCCGGGTTGGGGACCAAAGGACTCCGAGCACATCTGGTTGCAAACGCTAGATAGCACCAAGTACCGAAAACAAAGGCGCACTTGTTGTGAGACTCTTCTACCCTTACAGTTGTTTTCCCTTTTACGCTATTTTTTGCCTCTTGTGTTGTTATATATATATGTACATATATATATATGTATATATATATGTACATATATATATATATATATATATATATATATATATATATATATATACCTATGTAGATCCCGGTTGAATTCGTCCCTGACCGAGTCGCCACTGCAGTTAGTTGAAAAGTACACGGAGATCACAAACAAGTTGTCTCTCTTCGCGGTGCTTGTTGATTCTACATGAACCAGGAAGCCGAACTGCATATAGTCGGCTGTTAATCGGGAACCAGTCCAGTAGTGCCGCCTCGGTCTTGTCACTTGGTGCTATACCTACACAAGCCAAACCCGCTGAGGCTGCTTCTGGATCTCCAGAAAGACGCAGGTGATATCTGGCTTCGTGGTCAGTGGGGAATGTCAATGTAAGCAGTGTGCTGGAATCTTGCAATCGGGTTTCTGAAAGGCAGCAAACACCAATGTCTAGGGAATCTAGGGTGCGCGCTAGACCGGCTTGCTGTCCATTCTGCATGAGTGTCCGAACGTTGAAGTACGGCAGACGGAACGAGGATCGGGGACAAAGGAGAACCATAGGTTGAACTCCCTGGTCTGCGGCGCAACGGGAATCGTAGCCAGCTTGTTGAACACATGAATCGGGTAACAGAAAGTGAGGTTTGTTAGCAAACAAACAATTGGTGTGTGACGAAGTCGCGCGAAAGTGACTAGCAGAAACAGCAGCTGATGAGCACGTCGTAATCCAGTCCATGGTTTTGTGCAACATATCCTGCAACCAACAAGGCAGCTTCCGGGGCAACCTGAAAGCTGTCTTGATCTCCTTTTCACGAACGATGAGCAATATGTCGAATCCGCTAAAGTATTTGAACCCTTTGGGTACAGCGATCACTCCACGATTTCAGCCGTCCTACGTTTGCCATCTGTTGTATCATTACGAATACCCCGTCGTAACATTTGGAAAGCAAACTGGGATCGGTTAATGAGTACTGCGGAACACATGGACTGGTCATTACCTCTGAATGACGGTGTTGAAGTGTGTTGGGAGGTGCTGAAACAAAACCTAGTTCAGTTACTAGACCAATTTGCTCCTTTAACACCAATAAAATGTTGGAAGAGGCCGCCATGGATGGATAGCGAATATGTTGTCATGTCGAGGAGACGTGCAAAATTGTGGAAGAGGTTCAAACAAACTCATAGCGCCGAAGATTACACAGCTTACAAAACACAAAGAAACTGTTGCAATTCAGTGAAACTACAGAAGCGTGCGGCTTATGAAACACGCTTATCAACAAATGCGAAGGAGGCACCCAAAAAGGTTTTTGCATACATCAAGCGCAAGCTTAAGCCAACTGACGAGTTACCTGCTTTGGAAAATTCGCTTGGTGCACTGTTGACCGCCGACAAGGACCGAGCTATCGCACTTGCTTCACATTTCGAGTCAGTGTTCGACTCAGCTTCTCCAGCATTTCAGTGTACCCAAGTCAACGCCAAACTGGATACAGTATCCTGTTCAGAGGACCAAGTAAGGGGATTGCTTGCTAATCTAGA